CCATCTCAAAACACAGTGATAGTGACAGGCTATGTCACTTGTCCTCTCTAGAGAGTTTTTGTATCCTAATCTATAAAATGAGGCAAGTTGACTGGACAATTAGTTACCAAGGTCATGTCATCCAACTCTAGGTCTCTCTGATTCTAACAGTGAATCAGAGTACCATCTTGTATTTCTTCCCTGAAGACCTCTAACTGAAAATCATTTTCACTGGGACTTTATTTCCTGTCTGTTCTTTTCATTGCTACCCTCCACCACTGAGCACTGTATGAATTTTTTGAAGGAAAAATCTGTCAACACTCAGCATCCCACCTATTATCCACTACCACCTAGGAAGTGGGAAATTAAACTACAGAACTCAAACTTCCAGGCCTTAGTGCAAACCACCCAGATATAAAAGAAATACTTATTCAGAGGGATGGTTTTTCTAAAATTTCAAATAAATGAGACAGCTATTCACTCAAGTTTGAGTAAATCAATAAAAATGTAACAACCGTCTCTTTTTTGATGTTTTAAATACTATAAATAATGTTCCTTAATGAATGAAACTTCAATCTGTTGATTGAGCCACTACAGAAAGAGTGATTCTTACATTTAGTGAGTCCTCAGAATAAAGTTCTCTAATTCAAGAAGTGATGGTAGAAGGCCTGTCTATGGGCTCATAGCAAAGAAGAAATATGCTGTTTGTATATGTACATAGAACCAGCAAGACTCATCTAACTTTGGTAAAAGTAATCCTATTCCATTTCCTAAGAAATCCTCTCATTGCCTCAGCCTTGATTGGAGTATGATACCTGTGGTCTGAGGACCACTCTCAGGTATCAGGAGTGCACTAGAAGAGGTATGTCTTGAGATCTGACTACATAGCTAAGACAGAAGCTTCCTCAGTGGCCTGCAGTCCACATTCTGCATAAAGCCTATCTTCTATTCAACTCTTTCTCCCCATTCTAGGGACATGAATGAAGACAGTGCATCCTTGTTTGTGCCCATTCTTCTAAATGTGCAACAGAGAATTTTAAAAGAAAGAATGGAAAATGGAATGAGACCAAACAATGATACTGATTCATTGAAGTCTAATATGTGTTGCATGCTGTGTGTGTGTGTGTGTGTGTGTGTGTGTGTGTGTGTGTGTGTGTGTGCTGGGGTACTTCATATTGCTGTCCCTAAGCTATCATTAGTCTCCTTTCCCACATGGGTCTTTCTGTGTGTAGATCTTTCATTTTATCTCTTCTTTGCCTCTTCCGTGAAACTCACTGCCTGTTGGCCCTCTCTCTACCTCTCTTCCCTCAACTGCCTCTTTTTACTAGCTATAATATAGAATTGGAAGGAGCTTCAACATAATTTTTGCAATAATTAACTCAAGTTTCATGTTCCCTCTAATTCAAGAAGGAAGTGGGGAGGGTATTTTATACCATCTCAAAAGAATTAGACTTTGTTAATGACATCCTCATCCCTCCACCCCATGATATCATTAGATCACAAGGAAAAGAGTTTCACCATCCCTGAGAAAGCAAGAGGACAGTTAAGGACTGCAGGCAAGGCTTCGTCCATCATTCTGCATATCTGGAGGGAGCCACTCCCTGTCCTGCCCTTCCCAACCTCATCCTCCTTTTCTCTCCTCCTCCCTTTCTCTCCTCCTCCCTTCCCTCACTATGAACATTCCATCTCTCCTGGAGTGCACTCTTACAAAGAATTGGAATTATTTCCTTAGCTGTTTCCAGCTAACAATAACCATTAGTCTGCTCTGATCAAACTACACAAACACATACGTGCGCACACACACACACCATGCACTCACTTCTACTCCTTTAAAAGTCAGTCAATTTAATGAGTTGAGAACAGGACATCAAAATACTCTCAAGGCATCCAAGCACCTGTGATTGCAGAACCTATTCTTTCAGCCCTTTCCTCCATGGGCTACCCATTATTATACCTAGGGATATAACTGACCTGGCTAGAGAGAGGATTAGCACCCAGAGCAGGACTTGGAAGTGACTGTCATTGAATTCTTAACTCAAAGTCATCCTGTGCAGGATAATGGCGCCACAGCCATCTTCTCTGCACCCAGGGTTCTAGCCGTCCATATGTGGTCCTGCAGGCTGATGAGCTCATTGACTCTCCAGGAGATGTGGCACTGCCTGTCCCATCAATGAAAAAAGCATAGCTGCCTCTATCTCTTGTCAAAATAATGACCTTCTTCATTTGATGTGGAACCAAATGCAAGATGATAATGCAAGATAATAACTCCAAACCAAGATAATGACTTATTTGAAATAATTCCCTTTGAAATCATCTTGTATTTCCCATCCTAGCTATAATTTGGCTAATTGCTTAATAATTTTGTTTAAATGTCACCATTTCTGCAAACATCAATTCATTAGACCTACTTTTTCTGGTTGAAATCCCTTTGCTTTCCTCAGTATCCTCTGTCTCTTTCTCCCATTTGCACTTTTGCCTGAACAACATTCTAATGACATAAATAGCATCCCTTCAAAAAAGTGTTGAGCAGATCAAGGTGTTTCTCTGTGTTCCAGAGCCTGAGAGATGTGATCTATGTCCTTGAAACAGTACCTGTGATTGGAAAGATCTAAGACTGTGTCTTTAAAAGCCAGCTTTCCTGCCAAATGAAACTGTGATCACTGGCAGCCCTAACGCCTTCCCGTAGTGTGGGGCATGCTGCATTTTATATAGTGAGAGGCTGCATGAGAGAGCAAAACCCAAACCCAGACTTGATGAACCTGCAGCCCAACCCGCAGCTTCTCAGCTGGGGAACTCAACTCAGGAGTTCACATGTAAGAAAATGATCCTGGTTAAAACCCTGCTCAAAGCAGAGGTCTTCTCAGAGTATGACAGTGTCGCCACAGATGTGCATACACTCACACGTACTCTGCTTTGTGGAAGAATGCACTTTCGTTGCCATGTCTATTTCAGGGAGCCAGGGATCGAACATACACTCCCTGCAGAGGGACTCCCTGCAGAGGCAGCCTGTGCTCCAAAGGGAGTTTGAGTTACTAACCAAACTCTGACATGTTCTTCATAATTTTTCCCTTCTATAGTCTACTAGCTGAAAACTTCCAATGTTGCCTTTCACTTTTCATTCGAAATCATACTTCTGGTACCCAACTTAAAATAATCAAGTTGCTTTATGCAAATTTGGTTATGTCCTGAAAAGAGCCAACGTGGTTGTTCATGCCTTTGACAAGAAACATGGAGGAGAGGCCTAGATCCTCTACCTTGAAAACTTCCTCAGGCCAGTGATATATAAGAAGCAACCTAGGTAACAACAAAAAGAGATCAGCAAGAAGAGGACCAAATGGGAAGCAGGAAATGAGAAGCTATAAAATCAGATTAAAATTATTGGGGAGGAAGGAATTGGGTGTCCATGGAGCCAAAGAAGAAGACAGCTAATTACTTTGAGATTCATGCAATATCACATGTTTTTAATTAAGACCACATGTTTTTAAATGAGGTTGTTCTGCATATGCAAATGCATCACAAGGAGGTAGAGAGAGCAGCAGTTGTGTTGAGGGAAAGTGAGGAACTAGGCACTGATACTGCACAGAGTGTGGTCATCAAAGGCACACTTATATCCAGGTCATCCATGGGGAATTCCTCCTTTGTAGCTTGACAAACCAGTGGGTACCCACACCCACTCCTGCCCTTGCACTGGCACCTTTCAGCAATTCTGAGAGACACCAGATGGAAGCAATTGAGAAGATGCGAGATGACATCCATCCAGAGGGCAATACCTGAGGATGTGTGCGTGGCCTTGAACTGCACAATGTGAACCAGGCTTTAAGAGTTCTAATTGATCTGTGTGTGTACAATTGATTTTTACTTATCTTTCTTCAAAAGCTATCCTGAATTGCTTTGGGATAATCCAGAATTTGAAATGATGCCTTCAAAGAATTACAGTGACACATGGAGTGCATGCTCAACCCATGCATTTCGTACTTTGTCATTTCCTTCTGAATCATTTTTCTTACTGAATAGTTAAAAGTCTCTCTGAGTTCTTGGGTTTCTATACATCTTTATTCCTTCTAGTCTGAAGGGTATTGCTTGAGGAAAACAAAGATTAAAAAAAAAATCATGGAATTTGCAGGGAAATGGATGGCACTAGAGCAGATTATGCTAAGTGAAGCTAGCCAATCCCTAAAAAACAAATGCCAAATGTCTTCTTTGATATAATGAGAGCAACTAAGAACAGAGCAGGGAGGAAGAGCAGGAGGAAAAGATTAACATTAAACAGAGACATGAGGTGGGAGGGAAAGGGAGAGAAAAGGGAAATTGCATGGAAATGGAAGGAGACCCTCATTGTTATACAAAATTACATATAAGGTTGTGAGGGGAATGGGAAAATAAACAAGGAGAGTAATGAATTACAGTAGATGGGGTAGAGAGAGAAGATGGGAGGGGAGGGGAGGGGGGATAGTAGGGGATAGGAAAGGTAGCAGAATACAACAGTTACTAATAGGGCATTATGTAAAAATGTGGATGTGTAACCGATGTGATTCTGCAATTTGTATTTGGGGTAAAAATGGGAGTTCATAACCCACTTGAATCTAATGTATGAAATATGATATGTCAAGAGCTTTGTAATGTTTTGAACAATCAATCAAAAAAATAACAAGGATATAACTCTACTGCTGGGTAATGCTGAGTATTGAGTAGGATTGTTCCACATATTTGCATGTATTAATTTATACCATCCTCGCCGCAACCTTATGAGGTAAGTGCTACTATTAGACCTATTTTACAGGTAAGGAAACAGAGGCACACAAAGATAAGACATTGGCCCAGGATCCTGCAGCTAGTGGGTGGCAGAACCCAGGTCTGAACGCAGCCAGTCTGGCTCCGAAAAGGGGCTCTTTGTCACTGTGAATCAATCAGATGCTGAATGGGATGGCTAGAAAATGACATTGTTATTTTTAATCTTTGAAAATAAAGTGTGAGTTCTCATTTATCTTTAACCCTTCTGTTTTTCCCTCCGACACTCTCAGAGGATGGAAATGCTTAAGGCAAACTAAGGTAGTGTGAGACCACACCATGTAAGTGTGAGCATGGCTCCTTGTGGGTTCAGCTGTGTTTTGTGCGCTTCCGCCTTGCGTTCCCGCATGTCTTCTCTGCTCTTCTCCTCGACTCCCGCTTTCCGCAGTTGGCGCTTGGGCCGCATGAACCTTCACTTTTAAGCTGTAGATCCTATGTCTTTGCTCCTGGTTTTCTATTTGTGCTTCTCTCACCCACACAATCGCCAACACAGGGGGACGAGCCAGAGCACGTGCAGCTGTAAGCCTGGCAGCTCCGCGGGAAGGAGTTGGGGAGTCCTGGGGGATGCGTTTGGTGATTGTTCTCTGACAATGCACCCTCAGATTGTCAGCTCTTAGCATTCCAGGCACGCGCCCCTGCTCTCACTGCAGCGCACACTCCAACGTGGGGAACCACGCGTGTGGGCTTCTCCTGGGGGAGCCAGGGTGGGCTCCACCGCCTAGCTAGTGTTCTCTGCCGCTGCGGTCCTAAATGGATTACTGCTCTGTCATTCTCCATAGAATTGGATGCTATGAATATAAACACCGTTGTGCCAAGGGACAGGGTTAAAAGGAGCCATGAAGAGAAGTGGTAATCTTCTCATTTATTATTTTCTCTCTGTACATCTGTATGTGATAGAAATACAAACATATATGGGGAAAAAACAGTATTATGAAGAAGAAAGGATAATAATGGGCCTTAGGCCAGGTATGGACTATTTTGACCTTTCACTGTATACACACACACACACACACACACACACACACACACAATTTCTTTTTGGTTTTCCTGGATTCTACACAAACTATTTCCACTATGAGCGAATTTAATATGTGATAAACTAGATCTACGGAACAAAAAAGTTCGGGAAAAGATATTTGTGCCTAGGGCATACCTGGATCATTTAAAATGCCATCCTGTCTCACTACAGCCTTCTTCCACCTGGCTGTGATTTGAGGGTTGGAACTGACTTGTGTTCTCACTCTCACTGAGGTTTTGAATGTGTGTTGAATGGGAATTAGGAGGAAATGTTCCAAGTTAGTTGTCAGAGATGACAAAAATTTAAAATTGAAGGGACTCTCATGAGATGTGACTGAGCCCTGTCCAAGCCTTATTGTATTAAGATCCCAAACGGCTGTTCAGAGATGCATGGAATTCTGGAGCCCCAAAGTCCTTATGCTTGGATCCTTCACTCCAAATCCCATAATTTATGGAAGAAAACTAAGATCTCAAGAGAGAAAGTAACTTGTCTGGATTAAAACTCAATCCTCTTCTTTGTATCAAAGCAATTTACTGGAGTTGTATCCCAGCTTCTTTCTCTCTGAAATAGAACCCTTCACATACCATCAGGAGAGCTTTTTATAAATGAAAGAAAGGGAGGTAGTCTACATCCCAAGAAAGGATCCCAGGTCCCATTCACTGGGTCTGCCAGGGTGAGCTGGAGAAAGTCAGTGTGCCTCTCTGGACTACGGTTTTCTCCTTTGTAAAATGAGTTTCAGAACAGTCAACTTCAAAAGGTACATCCTGCCACATTTGCTTGCTAACCTTGAGCTGTTTTTCTTGCATTTTCCTCCCACCAGTATTCATTTTCTTCTGTAAGATTATGGGGAAAGTTCTAGTCAGTCTGTGCAAACAGAGACAGCCTACAGAAGAGAGAACACTGTGAGTCTGTGTTACTAACTGAAGAAGAGCAAGGGCAGGAAGAAGATGCAAATGAGAAGCAATTGGCCTGTCCCCTTGACATGAGCCCATCAAACTCAGTAGAGGTGGCAAACTCCAGGTTTTGTCATCTCAAATATGTGGGTTTTTGCAGTTTGGTGGTATCTGAATGGGATCTGCTTCTCTCCTCCCCAAGAGCCCACTCATTAGAGTTCTGAAACTTAAGGTGATTCAGTAGGTGAATAAGGGTACATTTTCTCTTTTTCAGTGTATTGCTAACCAAATTAACAAGGCCAGGGAAGTCTCCAAAGCAGTTAGAGACTAACTTGAAAAACAATAAGGCAAGAATAGAGACCCACACATGCAAGCTTTCAGCAACATTTTGAGATCAGCCCCCTTTTTTACATAAAATTATGGAAACACCAATATTAAACAAATATACAATGTCATTTTAGCAGAGCTTTTTCCCCCATGACATGCATGACATCTTTGTGATACATCTTCTTTATAGGGCAAAGAATCATCACTGGATTTAATATTTTGGCCCATTTGAGTTTTCCATATATCCTTTGGCTTAAAATGCAACTTTTTCCAAAATACCACACACACACACACACACCCTAGTATGCAGCAGGATATTGGATCTGACACTGATTCAAAGTTGAGTGGGAGAAGCAGAACAGGATGTGACAGGATGAGGAACATCACAGAGGTGGATAATTTCGTGTGTACTTTTCAGGTTCTGCTGGACAAAATTTAGCACTGCAAAGAGCCATTATCTCTGAGTGTATTACCAGGATAGAATTTCAGTTCCAGAATTTTGTCATAAAAGGGGCTTAGAAGTGGCAAATCTAACAGGGAAATACTATGCAAGGGCATGACACTTGACTTAAAATTGAGAAATGCCAATCCACCATGGCATCTGGAGGGATCAGCTATTGGAAATTATGGAAAGGGACTTTGGACCCCTTGTTGGCAACTGTCATTGTTTTGGTGTTACTAGTCCTTCTCCCATGACAGCTGTACCACTGTTTGGGGAAGAAAATGGCATCCATGGGCCACCATGCAAGACCAATCAGTTGGCCCACTGAGGATGCTGAGCAGGCAGGCGGAGGCAAGAGCATCTCACCTTACTTCTCCCTGTGTCAGAGAGCTCCCTGATCAAATCAACCTACTGGGAGTGGTGGATGGTTTTTTCAGGCTTCCTGGTGGACCCTGGTCCCTTAAGGCCTAAGATAACTGTTGGCCTGCTGAGACCTCTAGTGACCAACTTGGAAACTGCAGGTGTCTAAGGATGAAAGGAAGCAGTCCTGTGGGAACCAGCCTCTAAACCACAGCCAGGCACCTCCATGGTCTGTGGAGACCTGAAATTCTTCCTAGATCAAAGAATGCAAGCACTGAGGCCTGAAACCCCTGAAATATCAGCCATTGGCTTGGTGACCTGTTGCCATACGAATATGCCCAGCTGTCATTTCAGAGATGATTTCTTCCTGGTTAGCAATGATGATGAGGATTCTGCCTTTTGTATCTGTGATTTTCCAGCTTAGTACTGGCATCTTCTGGAAGCTCTAGATTTGGACAATCCATCATGTATTTTCCCTAGAGGAGACTTGAAGCCAGACCGAGCGCCCAAGGGTTAGAAGAGCCAGCAACAGATTCTAGTCATCAACAGAGGCTCACACCCATCCCATGGGCTCCCTGGAGACCTGGAGGCCAGCCAGGTTTCTGGGCATGAAAGGGAGCTGCACTGCTTCCCCTGTCCTTCCTCTCCCAAACATACAGAAAACAAACCCACCACCACTACTGCCTCCAGTAGTCTGTTCCTGAGGGCTTCCCCGAAACACTAAGTGGGTTATGCCTGACTGACCTGAAAATAAATTGATTTAATTGTTCTAAACCAGTGGTTCTCAAAAAGTGGCCCCCAAACCAGCAGCAGCCTAGCCAGGAGCTTGTTAGAAATGCAAAGTATTGGGCTCCAGACTTAGGAATTAGGCACTCTTGAGAGTGAGGCCCAGGCTCTATGCTTTATAAGCCCTCTCGGTGACTTTGAAGCCTCCTATGTTTTTGAGAACCACTGCTCCAAACATTGATTCCTAAAAGTCAGTAAATATAAGATCATAATTCTTGACTTATTTAAAATGTAGTTTCTGACCCAAGGCACACAGAGATTCAGTAATTCTGCACTGGGGTGCAGAACTCTGCTTGATTACCATCATTCCGTGTAATTCTGAAAGGGGCCTCCATTCCAACAAATCCTGCTCAAGACGGAGGAGAGAGTTAGAGATAAATATTGTTCTCATACCTCACCAGTCTTTAAAGAGATCTCAGTGAATAATATCTCAGGTTCTCTAGATCTTTGGGTGGGATCATATTATTCTTTTGACAAATTAGGTTTTGCTGTCCCTATAAGGAAAATCTCAGTGAAGTCGGCATCATAATCCCAAAATGCAATATTTCTCTGAAAAAGATATGCATTACTGAGAAAATGGAAAAATCAGGAAACCTGAGTCTGGGAGTTTTCTGAGCATGGTGATGAGACTCTCTGTGGGTCTGGATCTCTGGACTAGTGAGCTGGGCTTCCCCAAGAAGCAGTGAGTCATCTTTAGGCTGTGGGTCCATCAGATAGCAAGTTGCCCTGTCTTCCCCCTCCTCAGACGATTAGAGGCCAAGTGGTAGTTTACCTGCAGGACCCAAGAAAACAGTTGATGGTAATACTGATAGGGGGGAAAAAAGTGGTTTTCCAAATTTGAAGTTATAAGCACACTTGGCTTTTACAGCCAGTACATTAGTCACCCTGGAAATTTTTAAGTTCATATTTGTGAGAATCCTTGTGAATGTAAAGTTACAACCCTCCTCAATGCAACCCTGGGGCTCTGGGAACTCCAGAAGAGATCTGCCATTGTTGTTCTTCCCCCCATGCACTCCACCACTGAACCCCCCTTCCTGCCCAGGGCAACTGCACTTTCTCCGAGCACTAATTTGTTGAGAGGTATCCAAGAGGACTGAGATGCAGAATCACAGTTTCAAGAATCTGATAGGAGCAGTTTATAATTCCAGCACACCTATAATCCCAGTGGCTCAGGAGCTTGAGGCAGGAGGGTCGGAGTTCAAAGCCAACCTCAGCAAAATTGAGACTCAACTCAGTGAGACCCTGTCTCTAAATAAAATGCAAAATAGGGGCTCAGTGGTTGAGTGCCCCTGAGTTCAATCCCCAGTACCTTAAAAAAAAATAGACTCTGATATCAGAAACTTGGCCCTGATCATCCTTGTCACCTGCCACCTGGAAGCTCACACTCTGCCCTAGACCAGCACTGCAAAGATTTTGTCGGCCTGGGCAGAAGCTTCAGTAGGCACAAGCCTCCAT